GGAGTCTTCTCTTCTCATGAGATGGCCAAAGTACTGGAGCCTCAGTTTCAGGATCTGTCTTTCCAGTGAGCATTCAGAGTTGATTTCCTTTAGAAAGGATAGGTTTGTTCTCCTTGCAGTCCAGGGGACTCTCAAGAGTCTCCTCCAGCAGCACAATTCAAAAGCATCAATTCCTCGGGGGTCAGCCGCCTTTCACTTCCATACATCTCTACTGGAAAAGCCATAGCTTTGACTACGTGTACCTTTGTCGGCAAGGTGATGTCTCTGCTTTTGAAGATGCTGTCTAGGTTTGTCATCGCTTTCCTCCCAAGAAGCAGGCGTTTTTTAATTTCGTGGCTGCTGTCACCATCTGCAGTGATCATGGAGCCCAAGAAAGTGAAATCTGTCACTGCCTCCGTATCTTCCCCTTCGATTTGGCAGGAGGTGATGGGACCAGTGGCCATCATCTTAGTTTTTTTGATGTTGAGCTTTAGACCATTTTTGGCGCTCTCCTCTTTCACCCTCATTAAGAGGTTCTTTAATTCCTCCTCATCAGACTGGTATCATCTGCATATCGGAGGTTGTTGATATTTCTTCCGGCAATCTTAATTCCTGCTTGGGATTCATCCAGTCCTGCCTTTCACATGATGTATTCTGCATATAATGTTAAATAAGGTGGGGGATAATATACAGCCTTGTCGTACTCCTTTCCCAATTTTGAACCAATCAGTTGTTCCATCTCCAGTTCTAACTATTGCTTCCTGTCCCATGTATAGATTTCTCAGGCGATAGATAAGGTGGTCAGGCATTCCCATTTGTTTAAGAACTTGCCATACTTTGCTGTAGTCGATATAGTCAAAGGCTTTTGCATAGTCAATGAAGCAGAAGTAGATGTTTTTCTGGAACTCTCTGGCTTTCTCCATAATCCAGCGCATGTTCGCAATTTGGTATCTAGTTCCTTTGCCCGTTCAAAATCCAGCTTGTACTTCTGGGAGTTCTCAGTCCACGTTCTCAGTCTGAAGCCTACGTTGTAGGATTTTGAGCATAACCTTGCTAGAGTGTGAAATGAGTGGAATTGTAGTTGGAGCATTCTTTGGCACTGCCTTTCTTTGGGATTGGGATGTAGATTGATCTTTTCCAGTCCTCTGGCCACGGCTGAGTTTTCCAAACTTGCTTGCATATTGAGTGTAGCACCCTAAGAGCGTCATCTTCTAAGATTTTATATAGTTCAACTGGAATGCCATCACCTCCACTGGCCTTGTTTTAGCCAAGCTTTCTAAGGCCCACTTGACTTCACTCTCCAGGGTGTCTGGCTCAAGGTCAGCAGCCACATTATCTGGGTTATCTGGGTGCTGCATGTGTTGCTCTCAAACTAGCAGCGTATGGGCCAAGGTTTGACAAATTATCAGCATGCATACAACATCAAAAAATCATGTTGTGCAAAAGCATGCCAACTTGAGTATCCCTTATCAAAAATCCATGCATATAATTATTTTAAAAGTTTGTATAAATTACCAGGCTTGTATTACTTTAATATGTGTTTCCATTTACTAGAGTTAATGGTTATTTTTGAATAAAAAAGAGTTTGTATCATTGAAACTTTTGTTATGTTTTGAAGACAAAAGGTGATGATTAATTCAGACAACTGTACTGACTAAAACATTAGTATTCAGATTTAATTGCAGTGTTGGCACTTCAAAAGAAATAATTTGGTTTTGTGTCGCCGTTTGGGCACTCGGGCTCAAAAAGGTTAGCCATCACTGACCTAGGCCAATTCCGAATAGGTCACTGACTATACGGAAAAGTTCCGCCTGCTGATCTGAAGCTTCGCTTATCCGGTCAGTGAAGTGTGCTTGGCTAGCAGCCTTTGCCTTAGCACAGCTTTGTGGAACTGAATGTATTTAGTGGAAATCCCTGATGAACAAATAACATTTACATTTCATTTTTGCTGCAGGATGGAACCAGAGGCTGGATTTCTGAATAAGAGGTTTCATGTTTGCAACCAATGTATCTGGTGGTGAGTAATGATGACTTTACTGGGAACAGCCAACATTAAAGTGACTTTTTAAGTTCCAATTAGTTCAATGAAGAGTTGAACACATCATTAACATTCTCTTGTTGAAACCAATGGAGCTTACATGTGCTTAACTTTGACCAGACTGTGCCCAATGTCATTGCGACTCTCAAATAATTCACTATCAAGTTCTAAGATGAGCAATTATCACGCTGAGGAGAAAGCAGTAATTTATATTGATAGCTACTGCACTTGAATATATGTAATTAAGTCCCTGATTAGCTTGGACATGTGCCTCCAGCTTGAACATCTACTAAACTGAAGGTTATATTTTCAACAATATTTCTGTCTTTTTTTGGTTGTTTTCTTACTTGTTTCTCAGCAGGAATATAATATCCCACGAAGAGTGTCACACACTGAGTTATTTCACATGGGGCAAAAATTCTGTCAAAATTGGCCATGGTTTATCTTGAAGGAGAACAGGGTTTACAGGGATCCATCTCCAAATTGCACTATAAAAATCCACATCTCTTAAAATAATTTCACTTCAGCTGTGCTTTGGTAGCTCCCCCACAACACACCCACAAACACACATCTTTGGCAATAGCTCCCCTTGCTATCAACCAACATAGACCCAGAAGTTCTCCATGTATGGTCAGCAACAGGCAGACATGCCACCTGTTTATAGTCTGCCCCACAAGAGTGTGATGCATCCTATTTCTGTTTAAATTATTAAAATCATTTCTAATTTTGCCCTTTGCATATAAATTAACATAAGCCATTTTATGCAAATAATTCCTCTCTTTTGTCCTTCTATTTGTGGGGAGGAGGAGATGTCATCCTTTTGGTGATATCTGTCGTGCTCTGCCTCTAATCCTTCAGACTGCTCTTCCTACATATACTAGGACCGAAGGATGATTCCCTCCCCGAGTGAACCTGTTCCTTTGGGGGGTCTGACGGCACATGTTTCAAAATGAAGCAGAAGGTCTCAACTGCTCAGTGTTTTATAAGGGTGACTCTGGGGCACCATGTTAGGGACGCCAGGGAGGCCTACAGGAAGGTTCAGGAATGGAGCAAACCTCTGGTTCAAAATGAGCTCTCGTAGCTGTAAACCTCCAGCAACAGTTGCCCCAAGGGACGTCATTACAGATCATCACTGCCTCTTATCATCTCCCAGGGCACTTGCTTGAGATTCTCAGGAAAGGAAAGTGACTGTATGGACCTTAGGGTATTTTAGGTTCAATATCCCTGAGGGATTTTGACTTTGAAGTCAGCTGTACATAATTAAGTAAAACTTAACATAAGAGGCTTTTCAGCATAAATTATATGCTGAAGCAGAAGGTCTCAACTGCTCAGTGTTTTATAAGGGTGACTCTGGGGCACCATGTTAGGGACGCCAGGGAGGCCTACAGGAAGGTTCAGGAATGGAGCAAACCTCTGGTTCAAAATGAGCTCTCGTAGCTGTAAACCTCCAGCAACAGTTGCCCCAAGGGACGTCATTACAGATCATCACTGCCTCTTATCATCTCCCAGGGCACTTGCTTGAGATTCTCAGGAAAGGAAAGTGACTGTATGGACCTTAGGGTATTTTAGGTTCAATATCCCTGAGGGATTTTGACTTTGAAGTCAGCTGTACATAATTAAGTAAAATTTAAGAGGCTTTTCAGCATAAATTATATGCTAAACAATTCTTGTCTAAAGTAAAGCAAGTCTTGCTAACTGCATAGAAGAGATCAGATCAATAATCCTTCTAGTATAGACCTCCACAGCCATTCAGATTACAACTCCCATAAGCTCCAGTTAGTATGGCTAACATCCATGCTGGCTTGGGCTGACGAGAGTTGTTGCTTCACATCTGGATGGCAGCAGGTTAAAAGGACGTTACCTTAATATTATGCCTTATACTATAAAAACCAAATCTTCCCTTTTCCCACCGAGAATGTTCAGTGGTTGAGACAGAATGCATAAAGCCTGAAGTGACTGGGGGTATGACTATACAACAGTATGCTATGCTGTTTGTGTTGGGGTTGGCATGATTAAATTGGACTCCACACACACCCCCCACACACACACTAAGTGCATGTAAAGGTAACCACAAGTATTTCTGATCCTTTTTCATTGTTGGCATGATTAAATTGGACTCCACCCCCCCCACACACACTAAGTGCATGTAAAGGTAGTTGATTTTTCAAAAATCAACTAAAAACACTGATGTTAGTCCTCATCAGAAGGGGAGAAAAGAAGGGTAAGGGTCAGGAACAGAGCAGAAATGCTACCGTGGGAGGCTGTGATCCTGGTGAAAATGTTGTGCAGTGTGGGCTCTTGCAATGGTATAATTTCCTGTGTAGACAACTACAGACATTTTCAGCAGCAGATAATAATAATAATAATCGTAATAGTAATCATCATTATCATGTCCTGTGAAGTCAATTCTGACTTATGGGAACTCTTGAAGGTTTTTTTTAATGCATAAAATACCCATAGATGGTTTAGCAGTCCATGTCCTGTGAAGTCAATTCTGACTTATGGGAACTCTTGAAGGTTTTCTTTTTTTAATGTATAAAATACCCATAGATGGTTTAGCAGTCCCACTCCGGGACTCTGCAGCTTGTCCAGGAACACGCAGGTGGCAGGGCACCACACATGGTCTCAATGATCTTGGCAGGCTACCTTAATAGTCACTGCTGAATGAGGAGTCAGAAAATTCAGTTTGTAGCAACAAGAGAACTCCTGCCTAAAACTAGCCTAAGTTAAAAGGGAAATGAAAAAGAAGGAGAATAACAACTAACACATAAGAGATAAAAAGTGTGCAACACAAAGGATGTGCTACATTGCTTACCAGACTGTCCATGTTCTAGGATTTTCATCCTTCTCAGGTAGTGCTACACTGAGTCTTCATTACAAGAAGAATTAAGTATGTGTGAGAACGTGGGATGGATCACTGATTCTCTTGCGAAAGTATTGATGATTCAAGAGGTCAAAGCAGGGCTAGAGATTTTTTTTCTCTTACCTATTTTCTTTCACTTATCTATTCTCTTTCACTCCTATTGTTTTCCTTTTCCTTCTTTCTTTCTTTTTAATTTAGCACCTGCTGCTGGCTTTTATTTACTTATCCACATTTGTCCTCACTGTGGGTAACCGAGTTTTATGTTCCTGATTTGGGCTAGGCAGTGGGCATACTTGGCCAAGCCAGAAGATTAGAGACACTAAAAGATACCTTCCATACATCCAAATGCATTTTTCTGCTGTCCTTCTCCTCGCTTGCCCTTTACGGTTCGGTTGACTGCAAGAGTGTCACAGAAGACACCTCTGCCTGAGTGGAAAGGAGTAATACAGTAGGACCCCCATATCCACTGGAGATTGGTTTCAAGACACACCACTGATACTGATATATATAGCGATGGTAAAAGGGGTGGAGGAACAGAAAAAGTATTTTCACATGTATTACCAGCTGGTTTCAAGACACACCACTGATACTGAAAAACACAGATAACAGCAAAACTAACTGCGTGGCCCAAAAACACCATTTCCCATAGGAATGCATTGGAAACCGGTTAATCCGTTCCAATTGGAACGGATTGCCGTTGTTAAGCGAATGTTTTCAGACGGTGGACAAGTGAAATCGCAGATACTGTACTGATCCCACAAATACGGGCGTCATATTGGCCTTTTTTCTCTGTGCCACGGAACAGCCTTTCCGAATGCCTTCTCATCAGAAGCTTTCCTTTCAGAGGATCGAGCGATGAGGACCAGTGGGGCCATGGTGCCCAAATGATCATGAGGGAATACGTGAAAAGGACAAGGAATAAATTCCATGGTTACTGGGAGAGGTAAGGAGGAAGGAAGGAAGCTGATAGCATTACCTAACTAATGCTCCTGAAGGTCCATCAAGTTCAAAAAAATGTGTGGCTGCATAGTGTCCTCAACCCGGGTCATAACCCCCCTCCCATTCATGGTCTCCCCTGAGTCTGGAAATATACAAATACTTTCATGCATCAAATTAAAAAGATGTTCAGGCCACCTCCAAACCAGTTCCGGATGGGTTGGCTGCAATTTGCATAGCAAATATAGATACAGATCAAATCAGCTGTCATTCACACACCCCTACTCACTTGTATACAAAAAAATATCCTTCAGATACAATTTGTTATACTGTATGTTTAATTTCATCAGAACAAAAAATATATATACAATATTTTGTCCTTTCTCAGAATAACAAAACATTTTAAAAAATGTCATTGTAGTTAAGATTGGTCACAATCCCGCTGGTTGTCTCTCAAAAGAATCTAGGTCGGCCCTTCGCCCATCACGCCTGTGTTTTGCAATTGTTTAAAAACAGGCCTACAAATTAATAACAGCCACAGGCCTCTTAATCTGTACAGGAACAGGTACTCTTTTTGTGCAGCTGCAGGGATACATCCAGAAGCCCCTACCCCAGCCTGGGAATGTTACCTAAGGTGCCTGTTCGAACAGGTGACTTGGAGAAGAGAAAGGAGAAGGAGGGATGACTACATCCTGTGCTTAATGACTGCAGCATAGCAGGCCAAAAATAAAAATAAGGAAAACGAAAACATTGTGACACCTTAAAAACTAACTGCTGTTTTTTAATGCAAGCTTTCATGGATTAAGTCCACTTCCTTAGACATAAGTGGGACTACATGGCAAATATTTTTACTTTCATTGTTGTTTGTTGTTTAGTCATTAAGTCATGTCCAACTCTTTGTGACCCCATTGACCAGAGCATGCCAGGTCCTCCTGTCTTCCACTCCCTCCAGGCGTAGTCCTCTGTCGTCCCCTTCTCCTCTTGCCTTCACACTTTCCCAACATCAGAGTCTTTTCCAGGGAGTCTTCTCTTCTCATGAGATGGCCAAAGTATTGGAGCCTCAGCTTCAGGATCTGTCCTTCCAGTGAGCACTTAGGGTTGATTTCCTTTAGAATGGATAGGTTTGTTCTCCTTGCAGCCCAGGGGACTCTCAAGAGCCTCCTCCAGCACCACAATTCAAAAGCATCAATTCTTCGGTGGTCAGCTTTCTTTATGGTCCAGCTATCACTTCTACTTTACTTTCATGCGTGGCCCAAAAACAAAGAGACAGTTTATTTCCTGGGTGCAAATTGTTTGTTCAGAGTGCAGCATTTCACACCTGGCAAGTATGCAGATCCTTGTTGATATTTGTTTCCCTTCCCAGGAAGCATTGTTCTGTAAACAATGACAATGATTGGTGGCTAAATTAATTCCAGGCTATAGACAGCCAACAGGAACAACATGGTAATGAATATCTCAAATCACCAGTCG